TGCTGGAAAATTCAGGACTTGGAGGTGATGGGAGCCAAGTCATCCTGAGAGCACCCCCCCTTTTCCTCTAATTGAGTGCACACCAGTTAAGATGTAGATCTGTGAGCCAGGCAATGGGAAATCAGAGCATCACCCTCCATGTGGGATCTTGAGAAAGACAAGTAGAAAACTAATGAGAGTCCAATGGGGCCCAGAGACAAGTTGGTTTTAACAGGTTCTGAATCTCCAGCTTCCTCTCTTGATCCTGTAGTGGCATGACATCGGGGGAAAGCTGGGCAAAGAATACACAGTAACTCAACGACTTTTTCAACTTTTCCATAAGTCCAAAATCATTTCGAAACAAAGCTTTTTTGAACAGTTAAAGGTCTCCTTGGTTATTAGAAAGCAGGGCCAATTCTGCCTGAATTAGATAAAAGTGCCTATCAGCCCTACGTTAAACGGATTTACTTAGCCACAGTTGCAAACCGCGATGGGCCAACTCAAGACTTACCACAAAACAGAGCCAGTAGGCTCCCAGCTGATCCCTGGCCAATGCTGATGAGAAGACAACACGGAACAGGCCTGTCTTCAGTCTGAGACCTCAGGATCTCCTGAATGAAAGGTGAGAGGAAAGGGCTAAGCCTGCCCACGGTTCCTCGCCCGCGCTCTCTCTCTAACTGCGTCACTCCTCGCACCTTCGGAGTGGTCGAGAAGGAAGAAGAAGGGCTGAGGGTCAGTGGTAGAGTGTCTCCTGGTGTGCACAACATGAGGCCCTGAGTTTGATCCCAACATTGCAAAAACAAATAAAAGAAGTCAGAAGAAAGAACACAGAAGTATTGTTCTCATGCAGTGTTCTCAACCTGATGGTCTCAAGATCCTTCTAGACTCTTGAAAATTATTGAAGACACCAAAGAGTTTTGATCATGTTGGTGCTACTTGTCTATGAATGTGTTTCCATCACTGTTGCAAAATACCCAAGATAATCGACTTAAAAGGAAGGAAGGTTTATTTTGGAAGACAGGTTTCAGTTTGTGGTTGTTGGCCTTATCGCTTTGGTCTCGTGATGAGGCAGAACATCATGGTGGCGAGTGTGTGGTGGAGCAAAACTGCTCACCTCATAGTGGCCAGGAAGCAAAGAGAGAGAAAAGAAGAGGCCAGGGTCCCATATCCCTTCCAGGGCATGCCCCCTGGAAGACCTAACTTCCTCCTACTAGATCACATCTCCTAAGGGTCTGTCACCTCCCAAAGGCAGCATAGGCTGAGGACTCAGCCTTTAGCAGACAGACCTTGATTGGGCATTTAAAATCTAAACCTAATCAATCAATATTAGCTATAAAACTGATATCTTGACAATCTATTCATTTAAGTAGTACTAATAATTCTAGTATATTTTAACATTAATAACACATTTTATGAATTATATTTTCCAAAACAAAAGCATATGGTGAGAGGAGTAGCCTTGTACGTTTTTTTTCAAATCTCTCTAATACATTCCTTAACCAAGGACAGCAAGATTCTTGCCTCTGCTTCTGCATGCAATCTGTTGTGACACCAAAGGTCATGCAGCCTCGGGAAGATTCCTGGGTATGCTCCTAGGAAAATAAAAGAGTAAATAATATTTGGGTATTATTATAAAAGAATATTTTTACCTTTCAGACCCCCAGAGTTCCCTGGACCACACTCTGAGAAGCACTATTTTAATAAACGCCCCTGTACGTACAGAAAGGGCAGGGTAAATGCTCCTCCCACAGGAGACAGCCAGCCCTTGGGAGCAGGCCTGGAGGGAGGGTGAGTCTGAGACAGGCATTGGTCAGGAGTCCAACCTTGAAGCAGCTAGACCCCTCCCCCAGGTCCCCAGGTCCTCTCAGCTCAAAGTCATGTGCTTGTCTCTCTCCCTGGGCTGCAGTTGGCTGAGAGGTGAAACCCTGACAATCTGTAGGCTCAGGGATGGCATCAGAACTGAGGGACATTCTTCTTAAGCAGGAAAACTGGGTGGGGTCACGCATAAGAAGTGGTAAGATCCTCATCCCCCTTGCCCTACTCCTAGAGTCTCAGCGGCTTGGTTTGCTACCTGCCCCTTGGCACACACACCCAAGGCAGTAGATTGGGCAGCTTTTCTCTGAGGAAACTGAACAACCTAAAGAAAAAGAGCTCTAAAATACTGATTTGGCATATCCCTCCATGAAATAGCCCCCACCAATTACCCTAACCTAAAGCCCAAGTCTTCACAGTCCTGCCTCTGTACCCAGTTCCCGTAGTTGATATCTCACCCTATACCCTGACCTGCTAATAGACAGCTCAGAATGACTAAGCCAGACATCCTCAGAGAACAACACGGACGAAACAAGGAAAGAGAATGGAAGGACAAATGCTAAAAGAAAAAACCCCACAAAAGACCAAAAGGAACGTTCATCAAACAACAAAGGACTTCTTGGACATTAAAAACAAAAAGCAGAAATTTAAAAATCAATAAAGGTTTTGAAAGATAAACCTGAAGAGGGCTTTCAGAAAATAGATCAAAGAAAAATGGATAGATAGCTAATAGAAAAAAAAGTAATGCTTAGAAGAGCAAAGAACCAGTACAGGTTAAACACGCATCAAATACATCCCCAGAAAGAGATAACTGAGAAATGTTTCAAATAAATACAAACGTTAACACTTTGCAGAATTCAAATAACTTGAGGTTCCAAATGGAAAAAGGTCTACATGTTTCCAGGTAAATACACAAATATATGAGGTGGGGGACATCAATATGAAACTGCAGAACACAAGAGAGAAAGAAAAGATCCTAAAAGCTTCAGGAACATAAAAATAGGTGCACGTGCCAGTGGAGACCCAGAAAGGCATCAGACCTGACAATACCAACTCTGGAAATGACATGATAATGGAGTGATGGCTTCAAAACTCTCAAGAAAAATGATATGCTAGCCAGCTTCCTGTGACTTAGACCAAATACCGGAGAAAATCAGCTTTGAGGGGAAAAGATTGAGTTTGGCTCAAGGCTCCAGAGGTTTCAGTGTCTGGTCAGCTGACTCTGTTGTTTGGGGACTTGTGGGCAGAACACCATGGCGGGGGGTGTAGCAGAGGAAAGCTGCTCAGCTCCTGGCACTTGGGAAAGGGTTGGGGATAGATACACCCTTTCAGGGCACCCCACCAGCAATCTGCTTCCTCCAAGTTCACCCTGCCTCCTGAATCTTCCACTAATGCCTTCAGATTGTGAATCACTCAATGGGTTCATCTGCTGATAAGGTCAGAACCCTCATCATCCTGTCCTTTCTGAAAAGCCTCACCTCTGAATGCTGCTGCACTGGGGACCTAAAACTTCAGCCCGTGAGCTTTGGGGGGACACTTCAGATCCAAACTGCAGCAGATGCTTATCCACCTAGAACTCTAACCAACCATCACGAAGGCAAAGGATGAAGAAATGGGCACAAATGCAAAATCTAAAAACAA